CGCAATTGGAGGATGAAAAATCTGCAAACCGAGATAGGTAAATTTCACATAACCCTCGATAAATTTGACTTTTATTTAAAGATAACACTAAAAACTTTTTAAAAAGTCACGTAAAATCAAAAATAACCTGTCAGATAACACGTAAAATCGAAAAGGACTTGTCAGATTACACCCCAAGGGGGTGTTTGTTTCACCAAAATTTTTAGCATTTGGTATGGATTACAAGTTTTGGGATCAAAAAGTGAGTTTTTTTTTGTATTTTGGGATTCCATATATGGTGTTTGTTTTAAGAATTTTTTTACAATATTGAATCCCAAAAGTGCAAAAGGTGCCCATTTTTTAGAATTTGCTAAATCCTCTCAATTGGAGAGGATTTTGACAAATCCCGTAAATGGGCGTGTTTACCTCTCAATTGGAGAGGATTTGACAAATCCCAATTTTATCTTTTTTTGGGAGGTAACCTCACCAATATAGCATATTCATCATATTATAAAATTTTAAAATTTGGTAGTGCTACAATTTTAGCTTGAAACAAACAAAATATTACAAATTGTAGTATCCCATATCTCAAAATATTAATGAAATAAACAACATTTTAGAAATCCCAACCCATAACAAAACATTTACTGATTTCAAATCCCACGGTAAAATCCATATCCTAAAATTATAGGATTAGAAACAAACACCCCCTAACAAAACTTCCTCTTAATTGGAGAGGATGTAAATGGGCGTGTTTACCTCTCAATTGGAGAGGATTTGACAAATCCCAATTTTATCTTTTTTTGGGAGGTAACCTCACCAATATAGCATATTCATCATATTATAAAATTTTAAAATTTGGTGGTGCTACAATTTGAGCTTGAAACAAACAAAATATTACAAATTGTAGTATCCCATATCTCAAAATATTAATGAAATAAACAACATTTTAGAAATCCCAACCCATAACAAAACATTTACTGATTTCAAATCCCACGGTAAAATCCATATCCTAAAATTATAGGATTAGAAACAAACACCCCCTAACAAAACTTCCTCTTAATTGGAGAGGATGTAAATGTGTGTGTTTACCTCTCAATTGGAGAGGATTTGACAAATCCCAATTTTGTCTTTTTGTGGGAGGTAACCTCACCAATATAGCATATTCATCATATTATAAAATTTTAAAATTTGGTAGTGCTACAATTTTAGCTTGAAACAAACAAAATATTACAAATTGTAGTATCCCATATCTCAAAATATTAATGAAATAAACAACATTTTAGAAATCCCAACCCATAACAAAACATTTACTGATTTCAAATCCCACGGTAAAATCCATATCCTAAAATTATAGGATTAGAAACAAACACCCCCTAACAAAACTTCCTCTTAATTGGAGAGGATGTAAATGGGTGTGTTTACCTCTCAATTGGAGAGGATTTGACAAATCCCAATTTTGTCTTTTTGTGGGAGGTAACCTCATCAATATAGCATATTCATCATATTATAAAATTTTAAAATTTGGTAGTGCTACAATTTTAGCTTGAAACAAACATAATATTACAAATTGTAGTATCCCATATCTCAAAATATTAATGAAATAAACAACATTTTAGAAATCCCAACCCATAACAAAACATTTACTGATTTCAAATCCCACGGTAAAATCCATATCCTAAAATTATAGGATTAGAAACAAACACCCCCTAACAAAACTTCCTCTTAATTGGAGAGGATGTAAATGTGTGTGTTTACCTCTCAATTGGAGAGGATTTGACAAATCCCAATTTTGTCTTTTTGTGGGAGGTAACCTCACCAATATAGCATATTCATCATATTATAAAATTTTAAAATTTGGTAGTGCTACAATTTTAGCTTGAAACAAACAAAATATTACAAATTGTAGTATCCCATATCTCAAAATATTAATGAAATAAACAACATTTTAGAAATCCCAACCCATAACAAAACATTTACTGATTTCAAATCCCACGGTAAAATCCATATCCTAAAATTATAGGATTAGAAACAAACACCCCCTAACAAAACTTCCTCTTAATTGGAGAGGATGTAAATGTGTGTGTTTACCTCTCAATTGGAGAGGATTTGACAAATCCCAATTTTGTCTTTTTGTGGGAGGTAACCTCACCAATATAGCATATTCATCATATTATAAAATTTTAAAATTTGGTAGTGCTACAATTTTAGCTTGAAACAAACAAAATATTACAAATTGTAGTATCCCATATCTCAAAATATTAATGAAATAAACAACATTTTAGAAATCCCAACCCATAACAAAACATTTACTGATTTCAAATCCCACGGTAAAATCCATATCCTAAAATTATAGGATTAGAAACAAACACCCCCTAACAAAACTTCCTCTTAATTGGAGAGGATGTAAATGGGTGTGTTTACCTCTCAATTGGAGAGGATTTGACAAATCCCAATTTTGTCTTTTTGTGGGAGGTAACCTCACCAATATAGCATATTCATCATATTATAAAATTTTAAAATTTGGTAGTGCTACAATTTTAGCTTGAAACAAACAAAATATTACAAATTGTAGTATCCCATATCTCAAAATATTAATGAAATAAACAACATTTTAGAAATCCCAACCCATAACAAAACATTTACTGATTTCAAATCCCACGGTAAAATCCATATCCTAAAATTATAGGATTAGAAACAAACACCCCCTAACAAAACTTCCTCTTAATTGGAGAGGATGTAAATGGGTGTGTTTACCTCTCAATTGGAGAGGATTTGACAAATCCCAATTTTGTCTTTTTGTGGGAGGTAACCTCACCAATATAGCATATTCATCATATTATAAAATTTTAAAATTTGGTAGTGCTACAATTTTAGCTTGAAACAAACAAAATATTACAAATTGTAGTATCCCATATCTCAAAATATTAATGAAATAAACAACATTTTAGAAATCCCAACCCATAACAAAACATTTACTGATTTCAAATCCCACGGTAAAATCCATATCCTAAAATTATAGGATTAGAAACAAACACCCCCTAACAAAACTTCCTCTTAATTGGAGAGGATGTAAATGGGTGTGTTTACCTCTCAATTGGAGAGGATTTGACAAATCCCAATTTTGTCTTTTTGTGGGAGGTAACCTCACCAATATAGCATATTCATCATATTATAAAATTTTAAAATTTGGTAGTGCTACAATTTTAGCTTGAAACAAACAAAATATTACAAATTGTAGTATCCCATATCTCAAAATATTAATGAAATAAACAACATTTTAGAAATCCCAACCCATAACAAAACATTTACTGATTTCAAATCCCACGGTAAAATCCATATCCTAAAATTATAGGATTAGAAACAAACACCCCCTAACAAAACTTCCTCTTAATTGGAGAGGATGTAAATGTGTGTGTTTACCTCTCAATTGGAGAGGATTTGACAAATCCCAATTTTGTCTTTTTGTGGGAGGTAACCTCACCAATATAGCATATTCATCATATTATAAAATTTTAAAATTTGGTAGTGCTACAATTTTAGCTTGAAACAAACAAAATATTACAAATTGTAGTATCCCATATCTCAAAATATTAATGAAATAAACAACATTTTAGAAATCCCAACCCATAACAAAACATTTACTGATTTCAAATCCCACGGTAAAATCCATATCCTAAAATTATAGGATTAGAAACAAACACCCCCTAACAAAACTTCCTCTTAATTGGAGAGGATGTAAATGGGTGTGTTTACCTCTCAATTGGAGAGGATTTGACAAATCCCAATTTTGTCTTTTTGTGGGAGGTAACCTCACCAATATAGCATATTCATCATATTATAAAATTTTAAAATTTGGTAGTGCTACAATTTTAGCTTGAAACAAACAAAATATTACAAATTGTAGTATCCCATATCTCAAAATATTAATGAAATAAACAACATTTTAGAAATCCCAACCCATAACAAAACATTTACTGATTTCAAATCCCACGGTAAAATCCATATCCTAAAATTATAGGATTAGAAACAAACACCCCCTAACAAAACTTCCTCTTAATTGGAGAGGATGTAAATGGGTGTGTTTACCTCTCAATTGGAGAGGATTTGACAAATCCCAATTTTGTCTTTTTGTGGGAGGTAACCTCACCAATATAGCATATTCATCATATTATAAAATTTTAAAATTTGGTAGTGCTACAATTTTAGCTTGAAACAAACAAAATATTACAAATTGTAGTATCACATATCTCAAAATATTAATGAAATAAACAACATTTTAGAAATCCCAACCCATAACAAAACATTTATTGATTTCAAATCCCACGGTGAAATCCATATCCTAAAGTTATAGGATTAGAAACAAACACCCCCTAACAAAACTTCTTTGTCGTCGTGTGACATTTTTTACGGTTTGTGGTTTTATCTCAAGATCGGCCAAAACCTTGGAGGGTTACATAAAATTGACCCAAATAGAAAGAGGAAAAGTGGGGGAAAAGAGGAGAAAAGGTGAATTAGGTCCCTCCACTAAGATCCAAATCCTTGCTTCTATACCCAACAAGCATTTGTATCAGCACGTACCGCATCTAGAAACAATAACCCGGCGTTGAACTCTTCTCGTTGACCACCCATTTCCACGTCAAATACCCGCACGGACCAAAACCTGCCCAATAAATTAGCGAACAGTTCGAATTCACACCCCCGTTCAAAATCCGAGCCACCCCACCCTCGCCATCGATCTCATAAGATCCCACGTGTCAAAGTCAACGCCTCAGTCAAAATCGGTGCCCGAGCAGCCTTGTTGCCCTCTCATAATTCAGTCACGTTTCCACGACGGGAGCCAGCAACGATAATTAAAGATTTAAGGGACCAATACGGAAGCAACCCAATTAAAGAAAGAGATCAAGCCAAGACCTTCTAGATGCCCCGAAGCCCAACGGCCCCCTTCACACGACCAAACAAATTCCAAGCCTCTATATAACCCCGTGCCACTCTCTCTCTCTCTCCCTCCCATACTTTCAAACCTCTCGTCCTCATTCTTTCTTTCGTTCTCTATTCTTTCATTCGTATTCGTTCGTTCATTCATTCAGCTGCGACCGCTCCCAAAATCAATCAATATATATAGGTTCTCGTCGATGGAAGGGAACGGCATCGTCGCCAGCGTGATAAGGAGCGGCTCGGCGTGGCGGAGCACCAGCGCCCGCAGCGATGTGTTCTCTCGGTCCTCGAGGGACGAGGACGACGAGGAGGCCCTCAAGTGGGCAGCTCTTGAGAAGCTGCCCACGTACAGCCGAGTTCGGAAGGGGATCCTCACGGGGTCGACGGGCCAAGGGAGGGAGATCGACGTCGGGGAGCTGGGTGTCGGGGAGAAGAAGAAGCTCATGGAGAGGCTCGTCCGGGTTGCCGAGGAGGATAACGAGAGGTTCTTGCTCAAGCTCAAGAATCGATTGGACAGGTAAAATTTAAATTTTTTATTTCCCTAATGACGTTTGCCGGAGCAGTTGTTGACTGAATTTTGGATGTTTTGTTTCCTTGAAGGGTTGGGATCGAGAACCCAACGATCGAGGTGAGGTTCGAGAACTTGGACATCGGGGCAGAAGTTTACGTTGGAGACAGAGGAGTCCCTAACGCGCTCAATTTCTTCACGAACAAGATCGAGGGGCTGCTTAATACTCTGCATGTTCTTCCGAGTCGAAAGAGGACGACAGCGATCCTCAATGGTATCAGCGGAATCATCAAGCCCGGCAGGTAAAAAAGGAATCTTGAAATCAAAATTACATGATAGTGTATGATCCTATATATATGTATATACATGCTTTTTTTTTTAATCGAACCTGAACCTGTGCTTTTTCGCAGGATGACCTTGCTTTTAGGGCCTCCAGGCTCTGGAAAGACTACTCTGCTGCTGGCTTTGTCAGGGAAACTGAACCAAGACCTGAAGGTAAATCGCTTTCACGGTAATTGAAAAAACAAGCTGAGTTTCTCAACGATTACTGACATTTTCCTGTCAAAAATCAGGTTTCTGGCAGTGTTACTTACAATGGGCATGGGATGAATGAGTTCGTGCCTCAGAGGACGTCGGCTTATATAAGTCAGCATGATCTGCACATTGGAGAGATGACCGTGAGAGAGACTCTGGCTTTCTCTGCAAGATGTCAGGGGGTGGGAACTCGATACGGTAAGTTTTCCGGTAACTGAGCTTGGAAGTTGGAAGTCAGTTACTTTTCTCCTGGAAATGGGATTCAGTGTTGTTTTGTGATGAACTGCAGAAATGTTGACCGAGTTGTCAAGGAGGGAGAAGGCAGCAAACATCAAACCGGATCCCGATATCGATATGTTCATGAAGGTACGATCACGAAAACCGCAAATTTCCCTTTTATCGGAAAGACAGATGAATATAGTTCTTCGTATGTTAGTATTCTTGCATAGGTAACAAACAAAAAAAAAAAGGTAGCAAAAGAAGAGAAAGATCATGTAGACGGCACTATTTATCTCACAGTATGAAATTCAATCAAAGCATAAGAAAATAAATAATTGACAGACATATCAGTAACATGAACAGATTTGTGGTTGGATACTCTGTATTTCTGAAAAAGATACATATATATAGAATTTTTTTTCACAAATCCATTAAAAGAGTTGTCTTTTACAATAAATCAGCATTGCACAAAATTCTCAAAGAAGTGTTTAAAAAAATGATTTGAGGATGAGTACAACCCCAGAAAATAGAGGCAGAAAAAACATATATTCTTAACTTCAACAAAACATGTTGAGAAAAAGGTCGAAGACAAGTTTAATATTGGATTTTCTCAGAAAATTAGTACCACGTATCTTCACACATCAATTTACCGGATTCAAGAAATGAGGCTCACCAGAAGAATTTCATAGAATGGTTTTGCCAACCATTGCCCTTGGGGCAATGGATAAGCAAGTACCTGAAAAGATTTCAGATATAGTGCTATCTTTAAATGAATCAACATTTGCACATCATAAGCATATCTGTTCATATTCTGGAGCAACTGGTATTCTGACAATTATGAGAAATCAATCCAGAAAAATGTCCATCTTGAATGATTAGTTCATGACCTTAATCTTCATTTTCTCTAATACTGCAGGCTACTTCGCTAGAAGGACAGGAAGTTGTGGTCACAGACTACATTCTGAAGGTATACTTTGGAACACGTGGTCTTTTTCCCTTGCAAACAACATATCAGAACTCAGAAGCAAACAACTTTATTTTCATGAATAGCAACAATGTTAACACTTTATAAATTGCAGTATCAGAGAACAAAAGGTTATGAGGATCTAGTCCTCAAAGACAGTCTGACATAAGGAAAAAAAAAAAGTCTAGTACAGTTATATACAACTAATTCTCGGTATTTCGCCTTCCTTGTAAACTGCAGATCTTAGGATTGGACATTTGTGCCGATACCATGGTGGGAAATAATATGCTGAGAGGTATCTCTGGAGGGCAAAAGAAGAGAGTAACAACAGGTAGAATAATCAAAGAAATAACAACTTTATTTTCTTAAAGTATTTGCTTGTCTAAATATAAAATACCTCTTTGATAGGTGAAATGCTTGTTGGGCCATCACGAGCACTCTTCATGGATGAGATATCCACAGGACTTGACAGCTCCACCACATACCAAATTGTGAACTCTCTTAGACAATCTGTTCACATTCTCGGTGGCACTGCTCTTATAGCTTTGCTTCAGCCAGCTCCGGAGACCTATGACCTCTTTGACGACATAGTTCTCCTCTCAGAAGGGCAGATTGTGTATCAGGGTCCCCGTGAACATATCGTGGAGTTTTTTGAATCTATGGGCTTCAAATGCCCCGAGAGGAAAGGTGTCGCTGACTTCTTGCAGGAAGTAAGTATTGAACTCTCAGTCTACAAATGTACTGTTCTTTAAATTAGATTGAAAAAATTGTAAATACTAACTGAAACGGATAACCATAGGTGACATCAAGGAAAGATCAACAACAATATTGGGCACGCAGAGACGAGCCGTACCGTTTTATCCCAGTCAAGGAGTTTGCAGATGCCTTCCAATCATTCCATGTTGGCCGTAGATTGGCAGAAGAACTCAGCACCCCTTTTGACAAGAGCAAGAACCACCCTGCCGCTTTAACAACTTCGAGATTTGGCACCGGCAAGAGGGAGATTTTCAAAGCATGCTTGTCAAGAGAGTTTTTGTTGATGAAAAGGAACTCGTTTGTTTACATCTTCAAACTTTTCCAGGTCAGTACTTAAGTACACTTCATTAGTGATTCTAAAATTTTTCTGCAGTTTCTATAACTTGCATGCTCTTTTCCTTTCTGTGCTCAGCTTGTATTGATTGCATTTATTGCAATGACGGTCTTCTTGCGAACAAAAATGCACCATGGAGATGTTAATGATGGACTTATCTTTCTCGGTGCATTGTTTATTGGTCTTATCACTCATCTTTTCAATGGATTTGCTGAGCTAGCAATGAGCATTGCAAAGCTTCCTGTTTTCTACAAGCAGAGAGATCTTCTCTTCTTTCCAGCATGGGCATATGCACTGCCTACATGGCTCCTGAAGATCCCAATATCTTTTATTGAATGTGGTGTCTATGTTGCCTTAACTTACTATGTTATCGGCTTTGACCCGAGTGTCAATAGGTGAGGTTGCAGTTAAATTGAATCAATTTAAAGCTGATGAGGTAGTTATAGACAGCGTGATTTGAATTGTTTCTGTTTTTTCTTGCTGCAGATTGTTTAGGCAATTCTTCCTATTTGCTTTGGTTAGTCAGATGGCTTCTGGACTCTTCAGGGTTGTTGCTTCGGTCGGAAGAACAATGATTGTTGCAAACACATATGGTGCATTTGTTCAGCTGGTCCTTATTGTACTTGGCGGCTTCGTTATATCACGAAGTATGTATTCACTGACACAGATATACCCTTTAGGGACCAAAGTTCTCTATAACTTAACTTTATGCTCCTTCTGCAGAGAACATCAAAAAGTGGTGGATCTGGGGTTACTGGGCATCACCCTTGATGTATGCACAAAACTCCATAGCAGTGAACGAGTTTCTGGGAAAGAAATGGGATCATGTACGCATTTTTGCAGCTCTAAACACATTGTCAACTGTGAATCATTTCTCAGGTTCATAATCTTTCTTTCATGGTGTAGGTGGTCAATGCCACAGCAAGTAACCATACATTGGGAGTCCAAATCATAGAGTCCCGTGGTTTGTTCGCAGAAGCGAAGTGGTATTGGATTGGTGTTGGTGCTTTGATTGGATATATCCTGGGCTTTAATCTCCTCTACACAGCTTCTCTTACTTATCTCAACCGTGAGTCCTCATTCTTGAAACTATTGAAAGCCATGTTTAACATCATAAACCTAATTGTATATGCATTGCTGCAGCCGTTGGAGAAAGCCAAGCAGTAATGTCTGAGGAGACTTTGGAGGAAAAAGTTGCTAACAGAACAGGAGAATCATCATCTCGTGGAAACAACAACGGATCAGAAAGTGAGAAAATCAAACAGTTGAATGTTCAAATATGTATATTATTCTACGACGTCCAGCTAAAATGAGAATTATCATGATTACAGGAGCAAGACGTGGAGCAGGGACCGAAATAGAAACTGTTCAAGAGCAAAACAAGAAGAAAGGAATGGTCCTCCCATTTGCACCTCTTTCAATAACTTTCGATAACATCAGATACTCAGTGGACATGCCGGCGGTAAAACCAACTTTCAAATCTTTAGCCAATTTACCAATTATTTTTTCATCAATGAGTTAAGGAGTTTAATTGAATTTGAACTTACAGGAAATGAAAGCGCAAGGTGTTGCTGAGGACAGATTGATGCTATTGAAAGGCGTAAGTGGTGCTTTCAGGCCCGGAGTTCTTACTGCACTGATGGGAGTCAGTGGAGCTGGTAAGACTACTTTGATGGATGTCTTGGCTGGAAGGAAGACCGGTGGATATATAGAGGGGGACATTAGTATTTCTGGTTATCCAAAGAATCAAGAAACATTTGCTCGGATATCAGGATATTGTGAACAAAATGACATACACTCACCTCATGTTACGGTTTATGAGTCCCTCGTTTACTCTGCATGGCTTCGGCTACCTTCTGAAGTTGATCCTAAGACAGGAAAGGTGTGTAAAATGTTAATTCTCCAGATTCATTTCATGCAGATAGTCGATAACAGAAACAAGCATACGCATGATATATAACTGTAAAACAATACAAGTCATATATTATCTTATGTATAACATGAAACAATGCTACAACTGCTACAAGTATCAAGCGTATTTCTAAAGATTCTGATACTAGGTCATTAACATGCCTTGTTTTGTCTTTTCTTCAATTAATCATGTGCTGATGATGGTTCTATATGATGGTTTTAGATGTTCATTGAGGAGGTTATGGAACTGGTTGAATTGACTCCCCTGAAGGATGCATTAGTTGGATTGCCTGGTGTGAGTGGATTGTCAACTGAACAACGCAAGCGTCTAACAATTGCCGTGGAGCTTGTTGCCAACCCTTCAATTATTTTCATGGATGAGCCAACCTCTGGACTTGATGCTCGGGCAGCAGCCATTGTGATGAGAACAGTCAGGAACACAGTAGACACAGGAAGAACAGTTGTGTGCACAATTCACCAACCTAGCATCGACATTTTTGAAGCGTTCGATGAGGTAAAATATAAAATCACAAGAAGCATTTTTTCCCAATGGAATTGATATTTGATATAATACTTTTTTATTATATTAATTTCACCTGCTGATGGGCTTTTACCAAAATTTCAGCTCTTCCTCATGAAACGAGGTGGAGAAGAGATATATGTAGGACCACTCGGACACAACTCTTGTGATCTAATCAGTTATTTTGAGGTAATGTGTAACAGAATAAACTCATTTCTCTCCATTTTCTAGTTACTTCTTCAAAAAGATATGAATGTCAATACCATGATTTTGTGTCCTTTTCAGTCCGTCAACGGAGTTAGCAAGATTAAAGATGGATACAATCCTGCAACATGGATGTTGGAGGTCACAACCATGGCACAAGAAGAAATGCTGGGAGTCAATTTCACTGAAGTGTACAAAAACTCAGATTTATTCAGGTATCTAAATTCAAAATTATCAAACATTGATTCCCTATATTCATGATTCAATTGACTAACCAATAGAAAACACTTGTGGGGATTTTTCAGAAGGAACAAGGATTTGATTAGTGAATTGAGCAATCCTCCCCCTGGTTCAAAGGATCTATATTTTCCCACAAAATTTTCACAATCCTTCTTCATGCAATGCATCGCTTGCTTCTGGAAACAGTACAAATCTTATTGGCGCAACCCATCATACACTGCAATCAGGATGTTCTTCACAACAGTTATTGCGTTTATATTTGGGACGATCTTTTGGAGACTTGGATCCAAGACGTATGTATATACCGATATTTTGTATAGCATTTTTTATATTATATATCAACCACCATTTGCATGTCTGCTTAGAAACTCGGTACTATGATACTGATGGAAACATATCTGTAATACTTTACAGGAGCAACAAGCAGGATCTCTTCAATGCCTTGGGTTCAATATATTCTGCGGTTATGTTCATTGGAGTACAGAATTCTCAGACTGTGCAGCCGATTGTCGATGTTGAGAGAACAGTGTTCTACCGAGAAAAGGCTGCAGGAATGTACTCACCAATACCATACGCATTTGCACAGGTAAAATTACTATCCCAACCCCGACCCCAACCCCACATGCACACACACACGCACAAACATAAACCAAGTCTTCACCAAGCTTTCAACCGGATACCGACCTTTACAAGTTGGTGGTGTTCAAGTCCAACACACCGGAACACCACATGCATTCCTGTATCTGATACTAACGAACATATGAATTCTTCAAAATATGTTTACTTTATGTTATGGTGGATCCTTCAGAAAATATTTAATATATTATTTTACTAAATGTATGTTCCATATTATATAAGTAAACAATTTAACACATAATTATGATCGACTATACACATATCCATGAGGGTTACATAGTAGTGGTGTCCTAATTTTGAATTCTGGATGCCATTTCCGCACCCAGTTCCTCATCGAAATATGATTCTCTATGCCTGCAACACATAGACAAGAACTAACCAGAAGTTACATTTGGCAACTATAGCCAAAAGAGAAGCCTGGCATAAGACGTAGAACAATAAAACGGACTATTAAAAGAGATTTAACCTGTCATAGCACAGTTTTAAGTCATACAAAATGGACTCACTGGTAGAAATAACACCAACATTCACATCATATCCTGCTTTTTAGTTACTAACCAAATCTCTTTGCCTTCAGGTCGCTATTGAGATTCCATATGCTCTCTTCCAGGCTGTACTCTATTGTGTCCTTGTCTATGCAATGATAGACTTTGACTGGACTGCAGCAAAATTCTTATGGTACACATTCTTCACATTCTGGACTTTCCTATACTTCACCTACTATGGGATGATGGCGGTTGCTCTTACCCCTAACTCGGACATTGCTGCAATCGTTGCCACCGCATTCTATGCTATATGGAATCTCTTTGCGGGCTTCATTATTCCTAGACCTGTAAGTTACCAAACTCAATCCTCCTAAAAAAACTTCTTCTTTTGTACACTTTCTAAGTTTAATTAACGATATCATATAACGGAATGCAGAGGATACCAGTATGGTGGAGATGGTACTTCTGGGCATGCCCAGTTTCTTGGACTTTATATGGTCTGTGCGTTTCACAATATGGAGACATTACCACCAATCTAGATAACGGACAAACAGTGAAGGAATTTCTTGAGAGTTATTTCGGATACAAGCACGATTTCTTGGGTGAGGTTAGCGCTGCAGTCATCGCATTTTCAGTGCTCTTTGCCCTAGTGTTTGCATTTGGAATCAAATTTTTGAACTTCCAAAGGCGTTGAGACTGTCAATTTTCATTGTTTTTTCTTTGGCCCTTTTTTGAGAATTTTTTATGTGGAGACCAAGATTATCATTATAGGTGTTTTACGTCTGTAAGGTATTGTAATTTTTGTAGCTTGACTTGAATGGAGAATTGTTTCACATGTATAGATCGATATACATTCTTCTTCTTTTTATTGTAATCATTCAAAACATAAATAAATAAATACTTTCAATGGAAAGTTTCAGATTATTTTTCCTTTTGTTGCTGCATAATCTCTTGGAAAGAGGAACTGAACACACTGAATATATCATGAAACTGACACGAGAAGAAAACTCTTACCCGGAGCATTATGAAGGACAGGTAATTCCAGCACACTGAATATTCATGAAACTTCCAGAAGAATCCTTGACCGATAATCTCCTTCAAAAGCACGCCAACTTTGGAGGACTTCTCCCCTTCTTCTGGAATGTACTTTTGGAAATATATATTTTGGCCAGACATGGGGAATTAGTCAACTGATGTATCATCCCGCTGCCATCGCCAGTCAAAAGTTTCCATGAAAATTGTCGTTGACGGTGAATCATCACAGTGCATTATGGTAATCTTTTCAAATCGTCGCACAAGAAAATCTATCATCTTTATCATCATTGTCATCTAGAAGATTGACGGCTAATGAAAGTTTGTGCATGTCACCAGGGTTCACTATTGATAAAGTAAATTGGAAAATAACAGCAACATACAAGTAGTTATTGTCCCATCTTTTCCTGACTTCCTCTAAGATACTTAACGGCCTTCACTTCCTTCCGTGTTAGGATAAGGCTGCTAGTAACCCTACGAAAGAATCCCTAAGCCGAGAGCGCATGAAGAAGTTTAGGTGTTTGATTACACGCATTTCGTTACCAAAATGGAGAAATATCTTGATTTGGCCACGTGGACGTTCTGAAGAATCCAAGTCTGTCCCTGTTTTGTACTCAGAGGAGGTAGGAGATACTCTTATAGAGATGAAAAATTCAGGCAATAAAACGAAGAAATCAATTCATCTGTATGAAAAGCTTAAACCACCATTTTCGATAGTGTTATCTCCTTCTAAGGGTGTTTTTGGCAACCGGGAAGTTACTGGAAAGCAGATGAAAAAAAAAAAAAAAAATTAGAAAGGG